GTCTAATGACCGTCATGCACCCTAATATCAAGTACGCATGCTTATTCTAATTAATTGATTAATTAATTAATTAATTAATTAAATCCCCTGGCTTCAGTACAATCATAGGTCTGAAACAGAAGGAAATAGCACGTAAAGTAGGATTTCTGTCTCTCTCTCACATACCTATAATGTGCAGCAAGTAGACAGCAGGAACAGGCAAGGCAAGCTATTATGCCCAAGTATTTTGTGCAATGAATATTTCAGTAGAAAAGTGGAGAAATTGTTGCCTGTGAGAGGGTAGACGATGCGGATTGGATTGGATTCCTATCGTCTGCCATTCTAGGTGGCCCATTAATGGGCTTATACTCATATGTGGATCATTCAACTATCACCACATCAAATGATGATGTGGGTATGAAACCAGCATCTAAAAGAGGCTACAATCAATTGGTGGGCAATGTTGTCTGTGCCTCACCACTAGCTAAGAGCCCACTTAAACAAAAGGAAAAGTGATGTAATAGAATGCAGTGGTACATGATATAGGTATAGATGATATAGATCGCAGCTTTCGTTTGTTGCCTGTTTGCTGACCTACAATAAGCCATGCTGGGGTCTCAAATATGTATCAACACAGGGTGAGGTTAAACATGATTAAATGGTTATGTTAATCAGAATGCAATATTTTATTTTAAAAAATAGTTATTGGATGTCTCAGTATCAGTTAAGTGAAGGGCACATTTGTGACTCATTCTATTTTAAGCAAAATATAACTGCCCTTCTCACCTGCCAAACTCTGTAGGAGCAAAATATGGTATCAATATGGTATAGTGGTCAGCATTCTGAACTAGGACCTTGGAGAACAAGGTTTAAATCATCACTCAGCTATGAAGCTCCCTGGGTGACTTTGGGCCAATCACAGTCTTTCAGCCTAACCTACGTCACAGGGTTGTTGTGAAGATAAAACAAGGAGTGGGAGAACAATGCAGGCTCCCTGAGCTCCTTGGAAAAAACGCGGGGCATAAATCTAATAATAAATAGATTACGATGTTCAGGGTCTGTTACCTCTATCATAGGCCTCTAAGGGATTGCTAAAGTGGGATGCATGACTGCTGATATATTTGAAGCCCATATTAATTTCAAGGGCCTGTCTGGGCTCTTGTCAGTCCTCTTTTCCTGTGTTGTGGACTCTATAGGAAAACCATTGCCACCATTTTATATTGAGCTGATTCCAACATGCACATCATTCAATAGTATCCAGCAAAATGATTGCACAATTCCCATGGAATAATATTGCATATGATCAGTCCAGTAACCACAGTGACCAATTAGCCCAATGCAGTGACTATATGAATGATTCTGAAGGCACCAGGAAATCTCAAACTGCTGCAGAATTGGGCAGCCCATTTGCCATTAGTGATAGGGCATATAGTTGAATGTGAGTGCATGCTACCTGCTTCTGTTTTAGACTTATGGTTATTTGAAATAAGAATTGGACTATGTTCCTAAGAATGCCTTGAATTCTCTTAAAGGTTAGATAAAATTATAGTATTTGTGTGAAAATGAAAGTGGGGGCAAAGTGAGGTTCACTATCAAGGGGTAGTATTATGCTATCTTTAAGATGACTTTAAACTGTGGTTGAGTGTATAATCACTGTTTTTAGCCTTGAGCTGCTCCAGCTTTGGTGGAATGTATGTCCAACGATCACTGACCAGTCTTTCATATATCTGGAGTATATAATTAGAGATGAAAAGGACAGGGGGACCATGAAAATAAATAAAAGGGGGAAAGCACTCCTACTCTGTGTAAAACCAGCTCAGGGTCATGATGAATGTTGTGTGATTTTCTACCATGATGTATCTGCAATTCCCTGGAGTCAGAAAAGAAATATCCCAACACTATAAAGTATATGAAAACCATTCAGATGATCTGAGTAACACATATCAGCTGTCTGGAAGGGCGCGAAGGAGAGAATGTACTAAATCCAAACCATATAGTCCTCTCAAAGTCTGGTAAATCCAAACCATCATATCTCATCCTCCCAAAGCCTTTTTCATGAATGACTATAGCCATTTGGCAGTGGAGGTTTAGGACCAGAGTTTTCCTTGTCCTAGAGGAGCTACTTTCCCAGGCTGATGAGCCCCATCTGCCCCTCATTTCCCTCTACAGCACATGCGGAAACTGTCTTCTTGATTGTTGGACCCACTCTTGATCTTGTCTGCTCAATCTTCTGGAGCCTGTCTGCAGGGGAAGCCTGAGGGTTTGGGAACCATTCGCTACCCTCACCTGGTTTAGCTGGGCAATCGAAGCCATTTCCTGGTTTCTGGCCACTGTCACCTGCTGACAGCTTCTAGGAACCACAGGTGAGAGCTGAGTGCAGAGTGGGGACCAAAGGTGGACATGACTATAAACCCCCAGAGGTGCATTCCAGTGTCTCTTGAGACAAACGGATGGCAACAGCACTTTATCTTAAACCACAGGTCATACATAGTTCTGCTTTGTTGACTGAATTTTGAAATCAGGCTGCAGATTTGAGCACCAAGCAACTGTTTACAGCTAGTTCAGAATGGAAGTTTAATTCTTCATTTGTACCAATCCTGGCTGCACCAGGCTATAGTCCTTGAGACTTCTGTGTCATAGGGTACTGTCACAGCTAGAATCACAGTGCTGAGTTTTATATAATTAAATTTGCCTACCACAACCATTTATTCTGGGAAGTGTCAGTCAATGGTCAGGTCTTCTTTGCTTTCTTATTAATTGCCATATTTGACACTAAAGATTTTCCTCCAGTTTGGATTCACTGGGTTGGATGAATTCTCCAGATCTGGGTTCTTTTTAGGGGCATTCACACCAATGAGGGCACAATCCATGTACACTAATACTTGAGGTGAACACTCATACCATTATTCACATGTAACATTTAAAATGTCTAGAATCTGTGTTGTTGTTGTTGTTTAGTCGTTTAGTCGTGTCCGACTCTTCGTGACCCCATGGACCAGAGCACGCCAGGCACCTCTGTCCTCCACTACCTCCCGCAGTTTGGTCAAACTCATGCTGGTAACCTCAAAAACGCTATCCAACCATCTCGTCCTCTGTCGCCCCCTTCTCCTTGTGCCCTCCATCTTTCCCAGCATCAGTGTCTTCTCCAGGGAGTCTTCTCTTCTCATGAGGTGGCCAAAGTACTGGAGCCTCAGCTTCACGATCTGTCCTTCCAGTGAGCACTCAGGTCTGATTTCCTTAAGAATGGATGCATTTGATCTTCTTGCCGTCCATGGGACTCTCAAGAGTCTTCTCCAGCACCATAATTCAAAAGCATCAATTCTTCGGCGATCAGCCTTCTTTATGGTCCAGCTCTCACTTCCATACATCACTACTGGGAAGACCATGGCTTTAACTATACGGACCTTTGTTGGCAAGGTGACATCTCTACTTCTCAAGATGCTGTCTAGGCCTGTCATTGCCCTTCTCCCAAGAAGCAGGCGTCTTTTAATTTCGTGGCTGCTGTCACCATCTGCAGTGATCATGGCGCCCAAGTAAGTAAAATCTCTCACTGCCTCCATTTCTTCCCCTTCTATTTGCCAGGAGGTGATGGGACCAGTGGCCATGATCTTCGTTTTTTTGATGTTGAGCTTCAGACCATATTTTGCGCTCTCCTCTTTCACCCTCATTAAAAGGTTCTTTAATTCCTCCTCACTTTCTGCCATCAAGGTTGTGTCATCTGCATATCTGAGGTTGTTGATATTTCTTCCGGCAATCTTAATTCCAGCTTGGGATTCATCCAGCCCAGCCTTTCGCATGATGTATTCTGCATATAAATTAAATAAGCAGGGAGACAAAATACAGCCTTGTCGTACTCCTTTCCCAATTTTGAACCAATCAGTTGTTCCATATCCAGTTCTAACTGTAGCTTCTTGTCCCACATAGAGATTTCTCAGGAGACAGATGAGGTGATCAGACACTCCCATTTCTTTAAGAACTTGTCATAGTTTGCTGTGGTCGACACAGTCAAAGGCTTTTGCATAGTCAATGAAGCAGAAGTATATGTCTTTCTGGAACTCTCTAGCTTTCTCCATAATCCAGCGCATGTTTGCAATTTGGTCTCTGGTTCCTCTGCCTCTTCTAAATCCAGCTTGCACTTCTGGGAGTTCTCGATCCACATACTGCTTGAGCCTTCCTTGTAGAATTTTAAGCATAACCTTGCTAGCGTGTGAAATGAGTGCAATTGTGCGGTAGTTGGAACATTCTTTGGCACTGCCCTTCTTTGGGATTGGGATGTACCTGTCTACAAAACAGGTGTGCTGTAGAAATTAACAAGCGTATACTCTTCCACACAAACATTTCTACATGTGCAGAGATAGCTTGTACCTGTGTTCATTGTAACATGTGAAGAAGCCTTTTGCATTCTCTGCAATGCTATGTCTTGGCTTGCTTGCTGGAGTCTTTGGAAGCTCTCTTCTCTGTCAACGCAGTCTCTGCAGGATACCTGCTCACAGTGCATTGTTTTGTGGATAGCACAGGCTGAATTATAGAACCTTAGTGGTAGGCGGAGAACCCTGCCTTGAATAGCAGGGATTTCGACTAGGTGGTTGGTGGGTCTATCCCCAGGACTCTGGATCAGTGAGCAGAAACTAAATATTTCTTTAGAGAGATGAACTTTGCAGGAGGGCATAAAACTGCCCTGCTGTGTTTCAAATATCCCTGCTGTCAAATCGCACATTATACAGATATGCATTCCAAATAGGCGAGGTCTATTCGCTCATGCAGTGGGAGCAGGTGGTGGGAGGTTGTTTTGATGAGGTTAAAAAGCTCCTCCTACCTTTCCCCAAGCAGCAGCCTAATCTGCGTCAGCAGTAATTGTGAGCCTTGCACGGCTTTTTACAGTGAGGGTGAGTGCAAGCGATACATCAATATGAGGTATTAAACTGAGACTTAGATGTTCCCTCTAAGTGGCTGCTCATTTCCTGGAGCCATAACATGGGCTAAAGGTTAACTTGCCCATTCTCTGTGGAGGGACATTTTTTTTTTTTTTTGGAAAAAATATATCTTTCTTTCTTTCTTTTTTTGAGTAGGAGGGGGAGAAGAATGGAGCAGTGCTGTGCCGTGCTGTGTCCTACCTAGAAAGCCTGAATTTGTGCAGGTCCCTCCCTCCTTCACTCCCGCCCCCCCCCCAAAAAAACTGGATTATTTTGCTAATCAGACTTCAGTGCAGCGAAGATAAAAGGGGGAGAATCTGTTGCCTAGATAGGAAGCTTTAATGAGCAGCTGCGCCCCTGGGGACAGCAAGCTGAAGTCGAAGGCGGCTGCTTTCCGGTCTCTTGTCATTTCTTCACTTGCTCCTTCGCCTCCTTTTTCTCCAATGGGCCTAAGCAAACGGGAACTGTCCAGGGTGCTAGAATGCTGGCTGCTTTGATGCTGAACGCAAGCGGATTGCAGAAAAAGAGGAGCTCCAGATTACTGCTCATTGCCGAAGGTAGGCTTGCTCTTTGTTTGAGAATCCCTGATTAATCAACAACAGCATCAACAGAGAGGGAGAGAGAGAGAGAGAGAGCCTGCCTGTAGTCACCGGGCGAGCGTGAGAGAGACTGTTTCAAACCTTCGCTGTCTAGGTGGCAATGAGAGAAAGGAGAGAGCATCTTTTTCTGTTGCAAGAAGCCATTTGGATAGGATGTTTTCTATCCCTCCTTGTCTTTTCTTTTGGTCTTCACAGCATCCACTCCAATGAGGCACCTTAGCCACCTCTCTGCCACTGCATATGCTGGTGTTGTAATCTTCTGTGTGGTGAAGTGGGCAAAAAAATTCCTCCCATTTCTTTCCTGCTGGACTTCAAAGCAGGGTGCCGTTGATGCCCCCCTGAAACCTTTGCTGTTCTTTCTCTCAATGTGGATTTAAGATGCCAGATCCCCTCCTTCCCCCCAGCCCCACTGCATTTTTGAAAGTCAAACTTTAAAAAGGCTATTTTAATCTCACGCCGAGAAGATCACTCTTTTATTTTTAATGCAACACGCTGACTTCTAGAGATGCAGAATGCTACAATCTGGAAATGTTTGCCAAGAAGATCTCAAGCACTTTAATTGAAGAAAAACTGAGCCAATCTGCAAAATCTGTTTTTATGGTGCTGAAATATCCCTTCAGACTGCACTGAGATAAACCACAGGAAAGGGCTTTTACAGACAAAAGTCACCTTTAATTATTGCACTTAGCAGTCCCCCGAGGACTTTAATCTTGGTATGTACATGGTTTGTTTTGGTTTTTTAAAAAAAGGAATCTCTAAGCATGCTAATGAAATACAGTGCTTATCTATATTTATATATCACTATATCACTTATCAGAGAGGCATATTGGCAGAAATGGAATGATTTACAACCCTGAAATATCTAAGCAAGAACTTTGTCTGTTTGGGGAGACATTAATCAAACCACAGCAAAACCAAATAATGCTGTAATGTATTTGGGATTATTTAATGTTCTTGTACACATTAGGTGCCTGATAATAAGAACATTTGGTGTCTGGAGTTTTCATTTGTAAAGGCAACATTAAATTATTAAAAGGTTGCTAGCTATTTTTCTGACGTATTAATTGATACAATACCTAACAGCTGTGTTAGTTACTTATTAGGCATCCCACACCATTAATATTTCACAACATTTCAAATATGTTTCCCTTAGCCAAAAGATCTTCACTTTATCTTGCCCTCCCCACAATACATGCCTTGAAGAACATGGAAAACAATTTAGTTAAGCAGAAAGCAAATAAGTATTTCTCCTAAATTAAAAGACCTATTGTCCTGGTAATGTTGGGATAATCTTAATCTCCTAATTATAGGTAGTGCTGGCTGTTGGCTATCCAGTTACATGCTACTTGCTTGTTAGGAAATTGTGCATTTTGGGATCACAACACATATGTGAAGGACTTCTGGTTGACAAGTAAACAACAACAGTAGTACTCCACATTCTACAGGCTTTGAGGAGTGCAATCACAAGGAAGGGGAGATCTATCCTTTGTGCACATTTATTGGGTTTGTAGAGCTCTTTATTTCTGACAAAGAGACATAATATAAACACACCTTCTTGAAAGCATTGTTTTATTTCAGGTATGCAATGCATTTCCCCCCTCATTCTTTTGAAAGAGCTCCTTTTAACCATTTGTGTTATTAAAAGAGAGATCCTTTTACAGTTGGCATAATTCCCATTTACAACAAGGGTAGCCAGCGACAGAATAGAAAGTTTCTGGATCAACCTGGTTGAGTATGTCAGAAGAGTTGATTCTTGCAAACTTTGCACTATGTGTAGCACTGCAGTCTGCCTTTGTGCTTTTGAAGAAGCCTAATGCTTTATTCCCTGTATGTGGGCCATGTGGAATTGGAAAACATTTCCTTTAAATAAATAAATAAAAATCAAGTCTGCTTAAAAATTAACAAGGCAGCAGGCAGACATGTATATGAGAGCTTCATTGACAATGTGCCCAGCAAAGAAATAATTTGTCTTCTGAAAGCCATTTCATAAAAGACAGCAACTCTGAAGAAGTGGGGGTGGGAACCCAGTGTATAACATACCAGTGCCATTAGGTCTTTAACAGTGGTGCTGTAGTCAGCAGTCTGCCAGATATTGGATGTGGCCTAGCCTCTTTGCACTTACTGTCTTGTAAGCAATTCAAGAAGCACAGAATGAAAGCAGAGCCCAAACACTACAAGTGGTACTCCATATAACATCTGTGGTGAGAAGAGTGTACTTCAGATGAGCTAATTGTTATGTTGTAAAATGCAAGTGAACATTCAGAGAGAGGGATGGTATACTACTGGGGTATGTGCCCAACTCTTTTTTTAATTCTTCTGCCTATCTGAAAAGAAATCAACTGGCACTTAAAAATGTGATACGTAGCTATTAAACTGATAGGAAATGGTTGTGGGTTTCTTTTTGATATATATCAATGAACTATGGAAGGCACTCGTTATCTTCGTTTTAGCAACTTGTTCCATTTGATGGTCCATATTTTATTTCTCCTGCAGCACAGCATTTTTTTACAGCTCAAATCACACATGCAAATTGTAGAGTGGGAATCACTTGCAGTGCAAGCAATGCAGTAGCAGCTTCATGTGGCAAGCAGTATTCATTGTAAGGTTTCATTGTAAAAGAGCGAGGCGTCAGAAACACCAAAAAGGAATGTTTGCAGTAGTGTGGTGAAAATTGCCAGAACTTGTGTAGGGACCTGCTTTGCACAAATGAGTTGCATACTGCAATGGGCATGTGTTCATTGAGTTTTAGGGTCAATCCAGATATTCAGTACTACCCCCCTGGCACTGTAGCCTCTTCAGAACGCAGCCAAACTTGGAGGACCCTTTCACACACAGGAGCTCTGTTGCACACACTAATTTCGCATTCTTGAAAGGGTTTCCTTGTGCAGTTGAGCAGGTGGAAAATCTCTGAGTTTCCATTCCTATGCATATGCAGAATTTTCCATGCCACTGAGATGAATGGGGAAGCCTACACACGTTAGAACTTCATATTCATGCTGGGTCAAAGTCCAGCTCTCTTATCTAACTGTGTGCACATGGAACATCAGACTTCTTTACATCCACCTGATCAGATGATCTGCTAAAATCCCAATTATCTATATGAGGAAATAAGGGATGGGAAGACAAAATCCATCCTCTTGCTTTCCCTCTTTTCCAGTGAGCAGTTTAAGCCAGGTATTGCTAATTATCTGGACAAAATCTCATTCATACTGCAGCCCACTGGAGGACAAGATCAGGGACGATGCACGCAGAGCCTCTTAATGTAGCCCTAGCTGGATGGGGACATGTGACTTTAGTTGCTTGAACATTATGATGTATTCTGCTATTGTTTTTTACTTTACCTCTGCCATATCAAGTCTGCACTTTTAAAAAAAGTCAGATACTTGATTCCCTCATTCCTGAATTGCAAACTCAATTAATAATTTATCCTCATTTACAGAAATTGCATGAGAATGATTATAATGATATTTCAGTTAGTCATGAGAGTCCTTGGGTGGAATATTATTCATTGAGCTGATTCACCTTGCCATAAAGTGAACAAACTGGCAGGAACAGTAAAACTTAAAAATACATGTATTCTCTGGTGCACTTTACTTCTTCCCTGCTGATAACTGATTGCAGGGGCGAAGGCATCTCCTACTATCCTGCAACAGAAAGTAGTGGAAATTTTAAACCATGCTGTGCTTTCTAGGTGGTGATGACCTTCCTATTCTATAGACACTGTTGGCTGTCACTGTCATAAATGCTCCAGACCTTTCCCCAAATGATCAAACTCCAGGGAGGTTGTCTAAGCCGTGTGGTTATTCCTTATAGCCCATTCCCACATGTTCTGTGCCAAAGAACAGGCAGCAATCAAATTTGGGTGAGAGATGATCAGGCAGCAATCAAATTTGGGTGAGAGGTGCCACCAAAATTGTAGCCAAAACAGAACTATTCAGCAACAAGAGAGGAGGTATCAATTAAAAAAACCCTAAGTATGCAGAACCCTCCCTCCAACAGCCCAAAAAGGATTGGAATAGCTCAGCAATCTCAGAATGTTGAGTGACAGCCAGGAGAGTAGCATGGTGGGGTGTGGGGTGGAGAGACTAGGCAGCTGGAACCCTGAACAGGAGCACTGCTTTTTGTAATGACAACATTTTGTTGCAGGTTCCACTTGCATACTCTAAGTACAAAGCCTACATAAGACCAAATACAACAGCACACACACACACACACACACACACACACACACACACCAATACATCTAACATATAAAATTCAGAAACATCCAATAATATTTATATAGCAAGGACTCTTATAAACCCAGTCTACTGAAATGGATAAATTATTATTATAATTATTCATGATTAATATATCAGCTGTGTGTATACCATACTTTTAGAGGACATTAGAAGTACATTTTTTCCTCCAAAGAATCCTGGGAATGGCATTTTACCCTTAACAGAACTTCAATTCCCAGCACCCTGAAGCTAGTTCCCAGGACTCTTTGCCGGGAATGTGTGTTGAATGTATGATATGTATGCAGCCTATATGGCAGCTGGGTAGCCTAAGAAAGCATGGTATGAACCCTGGTTCAAATTTCATGAAAAAGTGATAGATAAAGGTTCTGCATTGTTGATTGACAGAGGCACCTGGTATTTATAACCAGTTCATTTGGAGCCTCATTTCTAAACACAATATTATTGGTTTTGTTATGGTTGATCCCCTTAATCCAATACTCTTTTCCTCAAACCAGTTCTAAGAGATCAGCTAGCCCAACTCAAACTGATGTTCCTGGATTTTAGCTGATTTGGTCCCTATTAACATCTGCACATATAGATCCAGTGTCTCCCCATTTTCATCCCCACTGCAGGGCCAGAGAAAGTTCCTGTGAAATTCTGTATCTTGGCAGAATTTTCATTTTTCATGTTGAGGTGTCACAATGAATTTCATCATTTCAGAAGGGGGGAAAAATAACCAAGTAGAAAAATAGACTCCTGTTACATGGTTAGACTATATCACCAGTTTAAAGGCAATTTAGAGATCTCTCTGCATGAGTGGAAGGTCCTTCCTTAGTGTGGAGGAATAGGCAAGGTCACCCTATCTGTAGTCTCCTATGTCATCCAAGAGGCTACTCTAAACAGTCCTCCTACCCTTGTGGAATCAGTTTTTCAAAAGGAGCACAGGGGACTGAAGACAGGAGAAAACTGGAATAAACAAAACACTCTTTGTATGAGTAGAATTGCCTTCCACTTGTTCAGTGTATTAGCTGGAGCCAAGTCTTTGCCGATGAAAATTTCGAGAATGATGCTGATATTAACTCATCAGAAAATTTGGTTCAAAGACAGTCATGAGCATTTGCAAGAATTTCTCAAGGGGTGTGAACAAAGTAAATGATTGAAAGATGTGAGCAGGCTATTTCCACCATATCCAAACCTCGTGTCCATTGCACTTACCTGAAGTTCATTCATACAGAGGTTGCACAATGTTTTCCCAGTGTTTAAAATCAAATACGATAATAAATGAATGTAATGAGAACTGCAAATAATCTTCATGTGGCAATGTCATTGTTAAGAGCCCTTTGGGGCTTATTGGGTTGGCTTTCAGTTCTTCCTTCTGAAGCCCCAGCTTGCTTTTTTCTGCCCTGAAGAGTATTTAGAGGCTTGTGCATATGGCATGGGAAACCATTGGAGTAAAGATGATCCAATGAATCTGAATGCACGTATGGATCTAGTGCAAACACATCCCTGGCAGCCAAGATCCATGCATTAATCCTCCTGCAAAACCATGAAAAACAGTGTCAGACAAAATTAATGTGCCTAAGGTGACAACAAAAAAGCCATGCTTGCTCTAAATTTAGGTCTACTTCAAAAATATCTGAAAAGCAAATTTTGAAATCCAAAGTAGGGCAGTGCAAAAAAAGTGAGCAAGTCTTTGAGGTTGTCATTACTCTTCATCAGACTGAATGTTAAACAAGGTAATTTGTAGTCAGAAAGTCTGCATTTGTTCCTGGTCTTAAGATGAAGCATCGGAGGAGAAAGCAAACTGAAGTAGGTTATGCTCACCTAGTTGCTAGGAAGGTTTCACATTTCAGCTAGGACTCCCGGGATGAAAAGAAACACAGTGGCTGATCCCCCATTTTTTAAAATATAAAATTCAGCAGTCACTCAGATCTTTCTTCAGCTTTATGTAAAATGACATTGGAGAAAATTGATCTTAAGCTAGTAAGGTAAAAATGATTTATCTGTATGGACTTCTTTTCCTTCTTTGTCAACCTACAGGAAGTATTTTCCTCCATTTATTATCTCCAACAAGATGATGAGTTCTAATCAGGAGGAAGTCACTTTGGGCACTTTCCTCCAGTATATTGAAGATATGGGCATGAAGGCCTATGATGGTTTGGTTATACAGAACGCATCTGACATTGCTCGAGAGAACGATCGGATGAGGAATGAAACGAACCTGGCTTACTTGAAAGAAAAGAATGAAAAACGTCGGAAACAAGAAGAAGCAATAAAACGGTAACTATCTGGTTTTGTTAAAAATCAGGGTTGATTGAGAAAGAGTAAACAGGTCCCTTCAAAATCTGAAATGTTGGTTACAGATTAAAAGATTGTCTCCACTAGTCGAGGGTTGACATGGCTATTTCAAGGAAGTGATGTTGGTTTTGGAGGTCAATGAGACTGGTAGCCTAATGGAACAGCGATAGCTCTGTTAGGATATAATGGTGTTGTTGTCCAATGGTGTCCAAGCTGTGTTACCCATCTCATTGCATGTCATGGAAGGAAGGAAGAGGGGAGCCTGTCCCTCACTGCCTTCAGGAGAGTGGCAGATGAGAACTTGCACATACACCATGGCTTAAAACAGGGGCCCACTTGTCAATGCTTTCAGCTGCATGTATATAAAAAAGAGGGGATCCTTTGGCTGGATATGTCTGAGGGAGTTTGCAAAGACAAGGGTCACTTGTTCTGCAATGGGGAACACAACAGAAACGGCTTCAGCTTCTCCATACCATATATCTATATCAATAGCTATGTATCATCTATATCTGTATATCTCAACCCCCCCCCCCCCGCCCGCCAAATCAAATGAATATTGGATTACACTGAATGTATATTTCTTGGAAGAGAGGTGGAGAGAAGGTAGCATGTGGCTTCAATTGACCTTTATGTGGTGCTTGTATTATGTGATGTTTTTCCTACTTATGTGGTCGTATGCTACTGGTAGTCAGCTAGTGAATATTCTCAGAAGGACAAACAGTAGAATACGGCTGAAAATGTCATTTCTCCTGTGTATCCAGGAGCAAAAACTGGAGCCAGGAAGTGTTTCCCCAAAGTGTTTCTTCAGGGGGAGTGTGATCCCCATCTTGAATCGGCTGAACATCTCTTCCCAGTTTAGCCTTCCCTTCTACCATCAGTACTTACATCTTGTCTAGATTTGCCATAGATATCACTGGTTGAGAATTCTGAAGCTATGATATCCAAGCCCACTGAAAAGGAATCTTCTTTCAAAGATCAACCCAGATTTTTCATATCCAAGCTATACAATAATCTTATTCCAAAATTGTTTTGATAGATGCAATTACATCCCCGGGCTGTAACTCACTGTATCAGAAACATGGAGATGATATGCAGATCATGCTAATTTTACACTTAAATCAGCCACATCCCTCAGGCTTGTGACACATTTCCAAAATGGCCTTTAGTGCTGAAGACTCTGCCCATTTTTAAAAATACATATATAGAGAAATTAATAATTGCAATTCTCACATTTACTGGGACTCCAGCCCAGGAAGAAATCTATTCTTTCCAAGCACATTGGAGAGATTCACTTGTTTTAATTATATTGAGGACATGTTTTTGAGTGCTTGATAGATTAGAAACAAAACAGTGAAACAGACTATCTATTAATCTCCAGACAGTACTGTCTGGTGCACCAGTATCATTGTTCCTTATCCAGCAGCCGTGTGAGAGAAAATTAGAAACCTATTCTTTGGTCACAGAGCAGAGGAAGAATCTTAGAGAAGGTTTTTGTAGCATTTAGTAGCATTCCACTTAGGAGAAGCAAAAGATATCTTCCCCTTCACATGCTTGTTGGACTCCTATATTTACATATGCATGCTCATCACTTGAGGACTACAGCATCAATAAAGATCTGCAACTGTGAAACAGACATTGCACCTCCACAAGTGCATGGGTGTCATATCACCTCACTTCACTTGAAGTGCAGTGTTTCAATGGGGTAATTAACGCTCACACACTGTCAGTGCTGGCATTTACCGAACCATGTCCATGCATATACGAATTCGCCTTCAGTTGGGGAATTGAAAAGTGTGGCTTCCACAGATGGGTAGCAACTGGTTGGTGAGCTTAAAGAGATACAAGTGATTATTTGTGAGTTGGAGCCAAGCCCATGTTGACCTGATGAAGGCCAAGTAGGGTGGGAAAAATAATATGATTGCCTTCAGGTTCCAAGTGCAGACGAATGTTACTGATTTACTAGATTCATCTATCTCTGTCTGTTTTCCAACTGGAGTATGGTACTGAGATGGTGCTTGCTTGTAGCTGTGGTTGAGTGGAGTGCCTTGGATAGGTCTGGAGCATCATCACATCTGAATGAAGCATCAATACATTTGAAGGTGCTGGCCTGACACCTTTTGAGCTCTGCTGCAGGCAGCAAAAAACCTTGAGCCCACTCCAAAAAATATGGAGACAATATTGCTGTTTTATATGGAGTTTTAGAAGGATAATATAGGACTTGGTACTTTTTCACAGTCTGGCTCCTCTAATGCATTGGTTGGCAAACTAAGGCCTGGGGGCCAGATCCGGCCCAATCGCCTTCTAAATCCGGCCCACGGACGGTCCAGGAATCAGTGTGTTTTTACATGAGTAGAATGTGTCCTTTTATTTAAAATGCATCTCTGGGTTATTTGTTGGGCCTGCCTGGTGTTTTTACATGAGTAGAATGTGTGCTTTTATTTAAAATGCATCTCTGGGTTATTTGTGGGGCATAGAAATTTGTTTCCCCCCCCCAAAAAAATAATAATAATAGTCTGGCCTCCACAAGGTCTGAGGGACAGTGGATTGGCCCCCTGCTGAAAAAGTTTGCTGACCCCTGCTCTAATGTGTCATCTTGGGGGGGAAATACTGATTTTTTTAAAGAACAAAAACAGGAAGGCTAATACCAGTAGCCGTAGTTCTGGACAGTGATATGTATTACAGGGTGATCTATGAATATGATGGTAGGAAATATTTTCAACAATACATCATTTAATGCCAAACAACTTGCTATGCTTTAGGGCTTCTGATAGATATGTGTGTGTTTTATGTGCTGAACCATACAATGAATGTCTTGTATCTTAAACAGTTGTTAAAAAAAATAACTGTTAAAAACAGTTGTAAAAATATTCTAAGGCAATAAGAAGTATTACATACCTCTTGTGTAAAAAAAAGAAGAAGAAAAGAGACATTCACATCCATTGTATTGCACATTTTCCCCTGAAGAAAAATGGAAGTGAGAATGATGCTTTCATGAATAGCAGTGGCATTAAGAATGATTTTGGCAGGATGGTTAATAGTAACAAAACAAAACTCATACCTCATATATCTTTCCTAATAAGTGAGTCTTAAGCTATTCCTTCTGAGTGTACTGATAAAGTCTTTGTCTCTTACTGGATGGAGTCAGCTGATGAATTTCTGACCTAATTTTAGTATAGCAGTCAGCAATTGTGCAAAGAATACCAGGTTAATGCGGTGATTAAGAGAATGAGATGAAATGATGATACAAACGTTTAGTATGTCTGTGACTGTTTTGTGGCCATTTTATTGTTAGTCTTTTCTTTAAAAAAATCATTTCGAAAAACAATGTTCTTTTAAAATATAACACAGCATTATTCACACGTTGATATTGTTAAAGCACAACACTGCTCATCACATTTCCTAGGAAGCATGGACCTACTTTCCTTATCGTGGGTGGTCTGTGCATTCCTCTAGATGTCTATTGCCCACTCTTAAGAGATCACAGTACACCAATTGCTGGAGGGTTTACTTCTGGATACGAATGTCAGGGAAGTTCCATCAATTCATAGTGCTATAGGACGGATGGATATTTCTGGTTTACCTGTAGGCACTCGTGGTTTTAGACCTTTGCCTGCCAGCCTTTTCATAGCTGAAGCAGACATTCCGATAATTCATGTTGCTTTGATTTTAATGTTTCCATGTTTATGCTCCCCTAGCATCATCATCTCATGAAATACTTTTTTAAATGCATGGTAGTAAAACCGTGATGGGGAAACTCAGGCTCAGGGACCACCTTCCACCTTCCAGGTGCCTCTGTCTAGCCCTCAGTACTCTTCACAGGCCACACCCCTCACTGCTCCTGCCTTGTGCCCCATATGTTTTTGCCTGGCTGACATATGTCCTTGATCCCTGATAATGCCCCATTCTTGTCTGAATGGGGGACAGAAAGGGTTGTGTGTGGAAACTACTCTACTCTACGAACATAACATTTACATCCATTGCTCTGCCTGCTTTTGCCTCACCCACCACTGACATGAGGTCACTAGAAGGTTAGCCAAAAGTGAATGTAGTACGCAGGCTGAAAAGGGTTCCCCATCCCTTCTGAAAAATATCCCCACTCTAAAATAGCTTTCAAAAGGGATGCAGGTGGCGCTGTGGGTTAAACTACAGAGCCTAGGGCTTGCAGTTTGAATCTCCATGACGGGGTGAGCTCCCATTGCTTGGTCCCTGCTCCTGCCAACCTAGCAGTTCGAAAGCACGCCAAAGTGCAAGTAGATAAATAGGTACCGCTCCAGCGGGAAGGTAAACAGTGTTTCCGTGTGCCACTCTGGTTCGCCAGAAGCGGCTTAGTCATGCTGGCCACATGACCCAGAAGCTGTACACCGGTTCCCTTGGCCAATAAAGCGAGATGAGTGCCACAACCCCAGAGTTGTCCGCGACTGGACCTAATGGTCAGGGGTCCCTTTACCTTAAAATAGCTTATATATTAGGATCATTTAATACTGCTATTGGCAATAACAACGAAATCTGAACGAGCTTATTGAGAATGAATGTGTTGTATGGCTACAGTGGCTAACATTGTTTTTGGCAAGACTGGCATAATTCAAGCCCGCTCCAATGCACACTCTTTTATGTATTTATTTATTGCATCAGAAGGTGAGGTTGTTTTCTTGTATCTCCATAGAGAAAAGGGCAAGAGGTTTAGGGTGCAATCCTATGGTCTTGGGACAGCATCCTTGGGTGCTGTGGATTTTGAGCAGGTAGAGCAGCAGGTCTGCTCATGAAGGTCTCCTAGTTGCAGCCAGAGGTAAATCCATGGCCATGATAAGAATACAGAAAGAGTCCTGCTGATCAGGCCAAAGACCCATCCAATCCAGAATTCTGTCCTCACAGTGGACAACCAGATGTCCGCAAGCAGGACCTCTGATTCCCAGCAACCGCTAATCTTTTCATTCACTCCCACTGAGCACCTTCCAATCCCAATGCACTTAATGGTGAAAGTC